ATACATAATTTATATATATATATATATATATAGTCCTAGTAAATAGAAAAAGAACCTATAAATGGTTTGAAAAGTATTTCTTCATGTATCTCTCCCCAGTCATAAAAAGAATCAGAACTACTGTGTTGCTTCGAATGTTGTAAATAACAGCTATATATCTAGAAAGTAGAGCAAGATGACACATTATTGGTAGATAAGGCAACCTGTACAGGAATTCTTAGTATTAACACAACTGAAAAAGATTATATATTACTGATACTGAAAGACTGTTTAACTCTTTCAGCATGGGCTTGGTCCCTAGGACCTCGTAGCTATTTTGTGCTTGTTACAGTTTTCATGCTATAACTTTTAAATGAGTAGGCGAATGTTAATGAAATTTGGCAGTTTATCAGTAAACATTACAATGTTTTCATATGCAAAATATCAATTTTTTTTTTATTTAGTCTTAAGGTTTGTAAAGCAATGTTTCTCTAATGCCTTTTTTTCTTTTCACATCTTGCCTATCTATTAAAAATAGATTAAAAATACTTTTATGCATCAGAAAAATTTTCATGAAAACTATACTAGGCAGAAAATGATTACGAGGTTGTCACATTGACCGAACCCGTATTGAAAGAGTTATGTTTATATTAGATTTCCACCCATGTGTTGACCAGAATGCTGAACATCACAGTAGCTACTAGATCAGTGATCTGCCCACAGTGTTCCCTAATCAGCTACCTTTGCCCCGTAGACAATGTCCTTCAAACAACTCAAGAGGAAAAGGTCCAGAGAACAACTGTTCTCCTCAGGAGATCTGCCCTTCATGGCTGGTTTTGTGTAACACCATCCTTGACTGTTGAAACTATCAGTATCAGTTCTTGATAGAATTCTTAACTAGTGAATCATTTCCATAGACTCTAAGATATTCCCATTGCACTAGAACAGATTATTTAATCTCTGCTAGTCACAGGACTCACATATATCCTTTTCTGTCTCCATGCATTACATGTAATTACAAATTATTACAAAAAAACTGCATACATATACTCTTATTCCATCACAAATCATAAGTTTGTAGCTATTATAGTCTTCTTGTGGTGTAAGTACACAATACATCGCATAAATATAGAACAAAAACAGTTTCAAGAATGAAAATAAAATGTAAAGAAACTATAAGAAGATTTTCAGATGATTTGTTCTAAAGTCTTCTAAATTTCACTCAACATTCTGTTGTTCTTCTCTGCCCAAGATAAGTCTCACTTTCCCACGAAGACATAAATTACTTCTTACACCACTTTATTCACTCTACAATGATGTAAATAGTATATACTATGCTCTGCTCTACCTAATGGTATTCAAACTTTGCCTGTAGCTATTTTCAAAGCAATCTTCATTAGTGGTTTTCCAGATAAGATGATGAGAGAATATAAAAAGGTGGGAATGTAAACTGTACCATATTTAGTTAATTGTATCCTCAAAGGGTATTAGCTCCATAGCCATGCATAAATGTAAGTTTAACGTTTTTATTTTTCTTTGCAAATTCTACTGAATAAATGTTACAAAATGTCAATTATAAAGCACTTTTGAGTAATAAATTCTTGAAATAGAGCCATATTCAAATTATTATTTTTATTTAAATCTTAAAATTTGACATGCAGGTGTGCACTCAACATCTGAAAAGTGCTCATCAGTCTAGAAAGGGTTAACTGTAGTATTAATGTAACAAAAGAAGTTTACAAACTGCTAGAAACAAAAAAAAACTGTACAGGTTGTTGCTATCAGCACAATAGAATAAGATTACTGGTTATTGGTAATGGTAAGTTACATGCGAATTTGTAAGTGTTAATGGAACAAAAGAAGAACACGTTACTGGGAATAACATCAGATTACAGGTTACTGATCATGCAACACTATACTTTTTATTAATAAAATAGAACCTACCTCGACAATGCTTCCTAAATCTTTTACATAATCTTCTTCTGTATCAATAAGTTCTTCAATCACATACCTGCACAGCAACAAGAAATGATTAAAATCAAAAGATTTCTGAAACACTTTACATGACTAATGGAATTTTTCTCAACACTTTTTTTTTTTATAGACACAAAAGTTTAAATAGAACAAAGTGTCAAAATTAACTCTTAATCCATCACTTACCCACGCCCAGATAGATGATAAATCTGAAGTATGCAACATCTGGAAAATTTCTGAATTTACTAAAAATATGCTAAAAATGATAACTGTGGATAAGGGTTCCCATTCTGTGAAAATGAAATGTCAGTAACTTTGTTCACAAGCAATTATTCAATATTCTTTGTCTTTCCTTTGCCAAATATTTTTCTTTTTTCTATTTCCTGTTTTAAAGTATATAAAATTAATGTAGAACTATAGAAATATCTGAAGATGATCCTACATTTTCTGTTACTTGCAACAAACTGAAAAGGTGTTTCAAGTAAGTTAGTTGCATTAAAAGGAAGTTATTGAAAGAAAGAGGGCTAGAGTTTCCAATAAAAGGAAAAAAAACTAGAAGTGAAAAGAAGCTTCTTTTATTTCTTCTCCTTCAAAAGTTGTTGTTCTTTTGGATCTTTAGGGTTGTGATTCAAGTGATAATAAATATCATCCACTGTTCCCTTTGCTAAAAACATTTTGTAAAGGCCTTCCTGTGTTACTGCACTTTTTCAATTATTTCTGGCTTATGTTTGCAATAAAATATTTAAGTCTTTGGCTAACTTACACCAATAAACTCAATTACAGTTTTTGTGCTGGTTTTGAACTCTTTGGAACCAAGTCTGACAAGTATAACAATCAACACACCAAAATTATTACTACCAGATCTGTTGATGTGATGAATTTTCAAATATTTGGGATTTTGGCCTGGTTATGTAGCAAATTCAGAGTTAACATAAAAGGATTAAAAACCAGTATATAGCAAGTCACTTTATCTTTACTGACAACAATACAAAGAAATAATTTAAATTTTTGAGCTGTACAGGATTTTATAATATTTTATGGAAGCAGTGTTGTTATTAATTTTCTTTAAAAAAAAACCTACGAAATGAAACACATTTCGAAGTGTTAAATATTATAGCATGAATACATTCTTTATTTTTAATACCTTTCTGTATATCTTGGCACAGATACTTTCTTATAGCACATCTACTTCATTTTCAAGGTCTATTATGTGAAATATGAGATAGCTGTTTTTTATTGTAAACCAATCAATTATTTTTTAAAAATTATCCAGTATATTTTATTTTTTTGGATGAATAGAATATCAATCTTTTAAGTAATCAACTTACACAAAGGCAACAGAAATGAGCAAAGTATTTGTGTTACATTTTATACATAAAAGAAACACAGAAAGTGTATGCACTTTAGAGGTAAGGGTACAAAATTAGAAAGTATCTCTGTAGAATTTATATAAAAGATGTCAGAAATGTAGATATTATGGTACATTTTACAAGTAAATACAGAAATGTAGAAATTATCTTTGTTACAAAGATTCATACAGCCACAAAAAATTAAGAAAGTAACTGTACAGAAAGTCATAAATGTGGGAAATATCTATTCATTAATTTACATAAAAGTTTAACTCTTTCAACCCGAGCTCAGTCCTTGGGACCAACCTCATAACTATTTTGTGCTTGTTATAGTTTTCATGCTATAACTTTTAAGTTAGTAAGCGAATGTTAACGAAATCTGACAGTTTATCATAAACATTACAATGCTTTCATAAACAAAATACCTAATTTTTTTTTTATTAAGTCTTAAGGTTTGTAAAGCAATGTTTCTCTAATGCCTTTTTTTTCTTTCCACATCTTGCCTATCTTTCATGCAAAATAATTTTCATTTTAAGGTTAAAAATACTTTTATGCATCAGAAAATTTTGAAATTTCATATGCAAAACCTCTATAATGTCCAGATAGTTATTAAATATTTCTTAAGAAAAAACTTTAATCTGTTATTTTCAGTAATTCTATATGGGTTCTATATTGGTAAATTTGACCAATCTCACAACCACCATAAAAAATTAGGAAATTATGCCTCTTCCATTCTAGAATGTACAAAAATTATAACATGAAAACATAAATGTAACCTGTAATTTGAGTTTTTAATTTGTATGAAACTATAGAATTAGTATTTTGACTTCACAAACATCTAATTTGAACCAGTGCTACAGTCAACATACCATGTGACACACAAAAATCAACGTTTATCTGTGTTTTTTAATATTTACTTTTAAATTAACAAATTGAGTAACGTATAGTTCTAAAATTTGAATTATAACCTACAGTTTGGTACCAAACTTATTGACATAAATTCATGAAATAGTTGTTCAATAAAATTTTGAATGCGAGTCAACAAACGAGATGACATGGCCTTTCACCCGTGACCCATCCCAAAGGGTTAAAACAATGGTTTTTGCAGATGTATCAAATCACATCCTAATTTCTTGAACGTGGAAATAAATATTCTAACTGCAATAGTGCAAAGTCAAATGATGCTTATTTATTTCTGATATATCACATCATTAAAAGTCCTGTATAAAAAACAACCTCAGAATCTCTAAATATTAATACTTAATAAAATACACACTTTCTTTTTTGTAAGGCCTTTTCTTTATCACCACATTCAGTGGTAAGGGTTTCAGTGAGGACAGGAAGTGGCGACTCTGGTTCCTCTTGATTAGGCAATGAAGGACTTCTCAATTCTGGTCTGATTTCCAGTACTGGTGGCAAATAAGATGTTACATCTGGTGTTTTAGGCTCTGCAATCTCTGATGAATCTGTAGTACTTTCAATGTGATGTTCCTGTTGTGAGAAAAAATACCTGGGAATATTATATTGGTTTACACATATTCAGGTAGGTTTTATTAAAGGTTTATCACTATTAAAATATTTCAGTTTTGAGAAATAAACCATTTTCTATTTTCAATTCTTTCTTCAACTATCTATTTTATTTCTAATGTTATAAAATTCACTCTTCAACCATTTGTGCTTTCAGTATAAGTTTTATAACTGTTATTACAAAACTCATCCTGACCTTACTCTATTAGTTGTTCCTAAACTTTTCTTGGCTGTATCTTTAATTTCTAAGGTCACAAAAGTCACTCATACAATTCTGCTTTTTTCTGAGGTCAAAACTCCTCACTATTCTAATCTTTATCTTGCTGATAGGAAACTCAGTTTATGATTTTCTTTTTAATATATTAACACTCACTCTTACTATTCTGTTATTTTTGTGATGCCATAAAACTCATGCTTATCATTATGTTCTTTCGTATGATGTTACAACATTCACGCTTACCATTTTGACTATTTTTTTAATGATATAAAACTTACCCTTACCATTCTTTCTTTCACTATTTGCTCTATTTCTGATGCCAGGTCTGCTGAACTTGTACCCTCTGTTGCCTGGAGAGGATGAGTTAAAGGCTAAGCATAAAACAGGAAAACATTTTGCATGCAAGATGCAGTCTTTAAAGAAATTGTTACACTAATAATAAGATAACTGTAAGTTTACTGAACAGTGCTTCAGCACCTTTATTATAACTAATTCTAGTAGTAATCTGAAAAAACGTATTTTTACAGTAAGACTGTTAAAAAGGTCTGTACTCAATCAGCATTATCTCATAAACATATCCTGAGATACTTTAACATCATTTTTGTAAAGTTTTATTTTTATACGTCGACCATTTCTATTATAAAGAATGCCAGTTTCATATACCCTCTGCAGTCTTGCATATACCTCCTACTGAAACGTGGAGCATTGCCAACAAGGTTTTGCATGAGGTGTCTTAATAATTATTTTCAAAATATACGTATAGATGTAGCTGGTAAATTATTATTAATTTTGATCTTTAACAATTAACAAAGTTTTGTAATGTTAAGTATAGCTGCTGCAATTTCTAAATAATTAGAAACACAAACTATACATAATTACAAGATTTGCACCTCCTACTTTCTCTATTTACTGAGGTATCAATACATTTGTCAAATCCACAAGAGAAGCCCACCCCTCTGGCTCTGTCTTTTGACACTGATTGCTTATCAATTTTACGTGACTGATAGGTATGTTTACAACCAACACAAAGAGTATAATCTCCTCAACAGGAAGCTAGTTACCAGTTGTTTAGATTTGGTGCCTATTATATTCACTAGACCAAAGTCTTTTAACTTATTTAGAACTTACCAAAAGCTTGCCAAATTTTGAAATGTATATAGTAAATTAAGTTATAGTATGAATAGCTTTAAAGAAACAGGCTCAGTTTAATGGACTAGCTGTTCTTTTAAGTGTTAATCAAATTTGAAGTGTAAATTTTTTTGCATTAAATTCTGATTACTAGCTTATTTTAAGCTATTAAATGGTTTCTAAGCAAAATTACACTAACTTCTTTCACAATCCTTAATTTTTTCATTGAGATGTTAAATTAATAGGACATGAGATGAACTTGCAAAAAACTAATATACTGACATACTTGAAGGTTCCACCACTATATAATGTATAAATACTGTTATAAGAATATCAATATAATAAATTCACACTAAATACAAGGAGTTCCTTTAACAAGAAAAATAGTAAAAACATTTTTTTGTGTACAGAAAGCCATATTAAATACCCCAACAAAATCCATTTGTCTCGCATAAAAGGGATCACATCAATTACCTACAATAATCCATCCTGTCATACACAAAAAATTGGATGAGGCCCTAACATACTCAAATACTAAAAGAACTATGGTCTAAAAATGTGATTATGGCTAAAAATACAGAAAAGTCTTGCTTTTATTTTGCACCATCAAAAAAAAATTTTCATGTTTTGTTTTTGTATGAGGCTATTAATCAGTATCTTAAAATACATGCCTGTGTATTTTAGAAACTGGTCACTCAACATTCAAATGGCAACATCCCAAGGATTTGCCAAGGCTTATAGGTGGTGTGTGCTTTCAGGTGAAGACATTACTGGTCTGTTCTTCATTCCTGGGCAACAAGTTAATAGAGATAATTATACTGAAGCTATAGACCAAATTTTTTTCATGTCTTGAACAATGATAGGTACCTACATGGACTGTTAATTTTGAAAAGGATAGCACACCAACAACTTGGAAAAGAATTGTCAAAGAGTAATTATGTGCCACTTTCCCCTACTGGATCAGAAACATTGCACAATCCTTTACCAATATAAGTTTGTAAGTTATGATACAACAGGATTTTGTCTTTTGAGGTTATGCAAAAAACAGTATAAATGCAAGCCTCTTATTGTTCATGACCTCAATGTTGATAGGTCTTTCATATCTTCCATATCTAGTGTGTAATTCAACTCCTCCATAATTTCAGAATTGCATAAGAAGTGGTGAAGAGTATGTTTAAGTGACTAAATGAATTTCTGTAAGTGAAAGCTTGATACTCACATAAATACAATGAGTTGCCTTCTCAATCCCTGCCATACAATTTACTGGGAAGCAAAAATGCACTAGGTATAGAAAAATGATACAAAAACACATATAATTGAAGTTTTTTGTATCCATTCTTTTTATAAAATTGCCTTACTATTTTGTCTCCACCTCCTTCTGATGAAAGAGGAGGCGGCGGAGGTACTGGAGTGAAAGTGTGATCTTGAATCTTCATGGGAGGTGGAAGTTCAACATCGCAAACTTCTTCTTCTGTTGACGCACCACCATTTAGATCAAGAGACTTAGATTTTTGAGTCAACCGAGGTTTCAATGGAGAAGATTTCTGGTGGATCAAGTGAAATGTTTAAGTTTGACTTGGAAAACTAATGCACGAAGTTTAAAACAAACAAACTCAAAATTAGATTTCAAAAAATACACAATAAATCCTGCCAACTTTAGAAATCTCAAGGTCTTAAATGAACAAAAAACAAAGGATTTGGCCAATTAAATGGCTGATATGTCAATTGTAACTACATCCAAAATCTAAATACAGAGTTTCCATCAATAGTCATACAAAATAATAAACAAATCTGGCTAATTATTCTTCATGCAACAGGCTCAAAATACTTGTTCATTACAAACTAGGATTCACAGTCTATCTGAGTACACCAAGAACTACCAATACTACACATAAGCTGGTTGTGTATTCACAGAACATTTGTAAAAAGAGTACTATTAAAACTTGTCCATAGTGTAATACTATGCATAAAAAAAGCTTTTCAAAATCTATGTACTTCCATATCAGCAGACATGAGAGAACAGGAATGGTAAAAGTAAAAAACAGATTTATATCTGAAAATAAATGCCTGAAACTTTAAAGAGATAAAATTAAAGTTTATGGCCTATTTCTAAAGCTAAAGGCAACAAAGGATAACAGATAAGATTTAGTTTTAACTCGTATCCTTGAAAACCGAGTGACAGAGAAAATAATTTTTATCTCTCGAGTAAAACAATAAAAAGTGACAAAAAAAATGAAAGCCTGTATTACAAAAACAAACTCAGAATAAAATTGTTTATACACATACCACAAACTGTAGCAGATATAATTAAAGCTTTTATTTTATCTATCACATACATACATTACATATATATACACACACACATGATAGATAAAATAAATGTATATCACATCTCACGAACTAATAAGAGACAGATAAAATGAAGATGCATCTTTAAAGCTAAATAAAGAGTTCAAAAATAAATTTAGTTTTTACCTCTTTAAAGCTACACACATGGAGAGATGACAAAAATATAGAAAGTTTATTGGATGTGTGGGTCTGTATGTGAAAATAAAAGCTTCTTGTCTTCTTAGGATTAAAAGAATCAAAGTTAAAAAAATTTAATGAAACTTTCAAATTAGAAACAGCTTTTATTAAATGATTCACTTCTTAACACTTTTCTTATTCCAGTGGTTTGTAACAGCTAACCTGAAATCATTCTAGGAACATTATTACTAAAAACAAAGATTAAGTGACTGATTATTAGCTGACCAAAGTTTCTATGAGAAGTAAGTTAGGACATTTTGAAATATCAGTAAACTAAATTGAAAGCGATTTAAAAAAATGTGTGAACAGAAATATGAAGTATTTTGAAAAATCTTTAAATTACACTATAAAGGCAACTGATAAATGATAATCTAACCTCTATTCCCTGTTCTTCAGGTTGTTTGACTACTGCACCAGTTGATGCTGGCTTGTTCCCCATTTCTTCCTTCCCACTCAACAACTGGGAAAAACAAAACAATTAAATTCTAAATCATACTGATGTTAAACCAACTACTATCCAACTTTACTACAAAGGTTTAAATCTTGTAAGGAAGTTAACAATAACTCACATTTGTTGCAAATGCACATGTATCAATTGTTCAGTGAAACTGTAGCACACTAAAAACAACATACAAAATTTAGTAGCGACTCTTAACTTGGAGAGAAATTACATGAAGAAGTTTTAAAAAATTAACTTAAAACTGAGGAAAAACATGTAACAGCAAATTCGATTTGATGACGAGGTACCCACTTTCAGACTAATGCTTGGAGACAGCTTGAATGGGTAATGAAGAAAAACTTTAATATAAGTTTAACATAACAGTAAATGTACAACGTTTTGACAAGGTTTTGTCATCACCTGTCATCAAGCCATTTCCAAGCATTATATAACAGCAAACATAAAGATAAAATTTACTGAGAAACCAACCTAACAATAAAATACCAAAATGGAAGTATACAGGTTTCAGAAAATAAGACCTTTTTCTCAGATTATCATGTTTATAAATCAAGAAGAATCCTTCTTACTAACATATTCTTATATAACTCTTAATACGATTTCATATTGTTTTGAGATTAAAAACAACTGTTATCACTGAATGAAATATAAACCTTCCAGTGATGTGGTGCAGAAGACTTTTTAGTTGCAGGCTTAGTACTATCACTTGAAGTTCTGTCCAATCGGCCATGACTCAGTTTCCTTACAGGATTTGACAGCCATTTTCTGTATGAAATACAAACAGTCAGTCAATAATTATAGATGTTAAGTGATTTTATATACAAATAATTTATTTTTCATAAAATTTTCAAAAAAAAAAGCTTTTATCAGTAACAATTTTTTTATTAACGTCATTTTGATTTATGGTAAGGAATAAGTTGAAACTAAACTATATAATTGAAATAAACTGTCTTAAACATTATCCTTGGTAGTATATGCTGTTTCAAGATATAGAGAGAACTATACTATTGAGAAAAGCGGCTCTGAGAGTGATTTTTTATTTCTAGAAAGAATAAAACTACAAAGAACTGTGGCTTTAGAAGTGACCATTTAATTCTAGACATAAAAACACACATACAGAATGTGGTTTCAAGAGTTATTTTTATATACAAAATCAATACAATAACAAATATAGAAATGAAATTCTTCATATATTACTTATTTCAGTATAGGTACAATTTAAAAAGTCCTTTAATACTGTAAAACAGTGGGTCCAACTTCATTAATCAAATACTTGAGGTGAACAAATACACATTCTTGGTACACATCTTTTGATATTAAAATATATATTAACTTACTTTATAGTGCTAGTTCTTTTGGTTTTAGCTATAAGCAACCTTATAAAATAAACAATTAACAGAGTATTTCTCTCAAAATATATACCTTATTTTAACAGTGGTTTCTACTGACACATTTATGGATGTCAATCTAAAAAAACATGTTTTTCAAACACATATAAAACTTTATCTTAAGATACATGTAATATCAAATATTCGTATCAAACAATGGGTAGTAGGTTACTGGTTAATACTGCAAGCTCGCATGTATACTCAGAGAGCACATTTTCTAAGGGTAACTTTTCTCCAAATGAACACACAGAGATTTCAAAAAAACAGTTGAAAGGACAAACTCCAAAATGCATTTATATCATCCAAACTTATGTATCATGAAAATATGCAATAGGTTTATATTTGAAGTTTAGACGTTATGTCTTTCAAGTAATTTATATTTATATATTTTAAAGATGTCAAGTTTAAGAAATTTTGAGCTTAGTTTGACCAAGTTTTTTATAGTCAATAGTTTAACTTTCTTTGCTTTGACTATACTGAAGTGAAATGTAATTTAATACATAATTAACATGAAAAAAGAAACTACAAATACTCAAATGTAATCTAATCATGCTGTTTATTTGTACTTCAAAGACTGAAAGCCATGTGATGAAACAGTATTCCCACGCCAGATAGACTATCACAGGATCCAAAATGTAATCAGTTGAGGCTTTCTGTCACAAATTACAGAAGGTCAAGTCTGGAAGTTAACCAAACTTTAAACACAAATAATAAAAATGCTGTTTATTAAATATCAGAATCTGAAATAGTCTATACTGCAACCTTGCACATTTAGTGTCCTTATCTCTTAACAAACTTGATTAGTGAGACTAACCGACTTGTTGAAAATAATGCAATAAATTTGCTAATAAGTTTGCCTTTTTTATATTTTCGTTGACTATGAACTGTAATTAGATGACAATTGTATTTTATATCTGCACAAAGAACGTGAAAATAAAATAGTTCTAAAAAACTCCCTTCCACAAAGGAATTTAACTTCAATCCTAACAATTTCTATTAGTAAAAGGCTTTATTACTTACTACCTTTACAATAACTGTTACAAGTGGTTAGTACATCAGCCATATGGCCTAACTGCAAATCCTGTCTCATTTTTGTCTTTGCATGATAGAAAGTAGTTATTATTTACAGAAACTATATTTCTGCAACAGAAAGTTTGATGTTATTATAACAGCTACATTTTAGTACAATAAAGTTGTGGACTTTATAAATTCCATATGATTTCATTCATCCAAGAAGAAACTTCCACAATTAAATGGTACATAATTATAATTACTCATTTTAAGATAAGCTAAATTAACTCAATATAAAAATATATATATTTATATTACCCAATTTACACTGCAGTCTAGACACACAAATAATTATTCTGGGTTAGTCATTTCATTTAAAAAAAAATGTGGGATTTATTTATTTACGTGAAAAAGAAAAGCTTAGTACAAATAACTAACCAACATCTTTTAACTGAATAAACAGAAGAAAGTTTTCAGGACATAGTGAATATTCATGTTTCCTGATACAGTAGTAATGTGATTTAACGTTTATGTTCTTACAACGCTAAAATGTTAGGTTCAATTCCCCTTGGCAAACAAAGTGCTTTACACTGAAACAATTAAACATTTGATGGTGTATAAAGAGATGAAACAATTAGTAGCAGAGACAAAAGCATTCTTAAAAGGCACATAAATACCTTATATAAATTTTGAAGGCTACTAAAACTGAATTTATTGCCTTATAAAGGTGGGCACAAATTTCCTTTTCTTGGATCCTATGTGTATTTTTGTAACAAAGTCTCATGTACAGTTAGAAGTACTTCAGTTCAGTTTCTCTGTACACAGGGCAAAAGAATAATTCCATATTCCCATGAGACAAATTTTTACATGACTCAGATGTGACATTATTTCCATCACATTTCAATATTTTTTAACATTTTACAAACAAACATCTTGAAAAATTATGACTGCTGTACTTGCTGAAATAAGCACTCTTGATGTCCAGATGTGATTGGCTAATGATGAGCTATACAATCTGGAATATTGGTTTATAGATCTAGAAAAATGCACTTTTAAAGTGTTAACTTATTTCTACAAATGGTTGAGTACATTATATTCAAACAATTTTGAACATGTAAATCAGCTAGTCATATGACAACCACTGCTGATATAAATTTGTGGTGAAACAGTACGTATAAAAATTATATTTTGGTAGTTGTAGATAGTGTGATACTACTGAAAACAGATCACTTTTGGAAAGAGTATCTAACAGTCCATTTCAATTCAAAATATTCATACACCCAGGTCATAAGGTTGTGTTCAGGTCAGGAATTTAGAATTTCCAAGAGGAAAATATCCCTTGAACTTAATAGTATTGAAAAAGAAAATAATGTAGAACAACTTGGGTGCTACTATAGAAATAAAGACCTGCAATAGGAAATTCCCCAGCTGTGGTAAGCAGTGTTTCTAACAAGTGAGGATCAATGGATACACAAGTCAAAGGCAAAGGCTGTCTACATACCACAGAAAACTCAACAAGTATATGAGACTGGAAACAAAGCCAACTGGTTCACCAAGATAAGGCTTCCAGTCCTATCTCCCATTCAATTGTTGCTTACCTCAAGCAGCTCTGGGACAAAACAGATATTCATACTATTCCATATGAAGACAGATCAGCAAAGTTTGTTTGTTTATTTTAGGGCAAAGCCATTGGGTTATCTGCTACGTCCATTGCAGTGAATCTAACCCCAGAATTGTGGCATAGTAAGTCCATAAACTTACCACTGTCCCACCATACTGGTCAAATCACCAGACGCAGTACTTATGTATTTATGTGTGATTCGATTGTTGAAATAGACGTTGATAAACTGTCATCTTTGTACAATAAAGAGATTACAAAAAGTATGCAGGGAAGAGTGGTGTGCTTTGAGCATGGCAGTTTTACAATGAAAACTAAGCTGCAGAGATACTGTCAAGATGCATGGTCATATGATAGTTCATGAGCAAACATGGCAACATGGATTGTAACAATGTACTGAGGCTCCAAAATCATTTTAATATAACGTAATGAACATCTGCAAATGTAAAAACACATCTGCAGAGTGTGGCTTGCTTAAGTTTTTTTTTGTACACATATTCTTCATAAAATTTAAATAACCCCCCCAGTACCAGGTTTATTTTTAGATGCACAATAAACAATAAAAAAAAGTGGATATTTCATTCCATATCTGAAACTTGAAACTGGTAAATTTTGGAACTTTCTTTATGTGGTTAATATCACACTTTTCAAGGCTAAAAGAAGGATTATGTGTATATATAAGTGTTTGCGACATACATGTGCCAATGGTAATGACAGATTTAATTGTGATTACAACAGTTGTTGCTGTTTGCATACACCTCTTTATAATAAACTGAATCAAAATAAGGTATATTTTACCTGACTAGACTTCATACAATATACACAAATAGCTAACTTTCAACTGGGTTTATGAGAAAATAATGAGATTTTAACCTGCTTCAACCTTCATGTAGATATAGAGACACTTAGCCTAACCTACTACCAAAGACAACTGGTCTAACAAAGAAATGATACACAAACAAACAAACAAATAAATAAAAATGTTTAACGTGATTTATAAAATAGATAATGAGAAGACCAAATTTATTTCACATGCAAATAGTTATATAGTGTGCAAAATGAAGACAAGCTTTAGTTTTTCAAAGTTTTACAAGTGCCATCATAGCTTTCTTACAACAATACACTGAAGACCCAGGACAAATAAATTTGTTGACTGCCTTGATATAGCCATAAATGAAAGTTTGTAATAACTTACTATTTTAATATCTAACCTTACTGTGAAAATTTATCTTAAATTTTTGAAATAATCAAAATCATGTGATATAACTATAACAATATAAACCTAAAATTGAAGTTAAAAACAGCATACTAGTAGTGTTCTATATGTACTTCTATGAAATTTCAAAAAACAAAAAATCTTGATTGGACAAATTTTATGCCTATTTGAAAATGCATAAATTTACTTCAAGCTTCCGCACCCATATCTCCATCTACTTTTGTGTTTAATTAAATTACCAAATTTTGCTTGAGCTTTTTATTTCCTGTTTACTGTGCACCACATAGAAGAGCAATAGCTAAAACATAACTCAATACACTACAGTTTGTACTAGACAAACAAGTACATTTATACCAACCAGTGGAGTTTTCGACCTCACCTATCCTCTCATATAGCTCAACACAAATACAGTTTTGGAGTTGCAGTCTATTTCCAATTTTCTGTTCAATTTTATACATAATTACTTCTAAGTGTATGTGTATACAATTTTTTAATTATATAGATTACCTTCTTGTTCTATCAATTAGAAACTCAAACTAATTTCATGACAATATGATGGTAGCATTCTCCTACTTACCGGAATGGTCCTCGACGTTTATTGGCTGGAGAGACATTGTTAGGAGGCAGGGAGTAGGCCGAGTTCCCGGAGGCAGCTTCACCTGCAGCCACTGGAGCATCTAGGATAACACAACAAGGACATTGGTGTTAAAAGTTAGATTGAATTCCTGTATGATAAATTCAGTTACACGTATACTAATAAAGAAGTATTGTAAGATGTACAAAATGGTCAATGATACATGTACTGTTGAGTCAATTAAACAAATCTTAATACTGTAGCACTAACAAATACACAGTATGTCCAACAAATAAACAGTAATATTACAACATATGATTAGTGGTACAAGCATTGTTACAGCAATTAAAATAAAGTAATAATAAAGTACTATAAAATACAAATGGCACATGTACATCAGATAAGCTAATAATGCTAATGAAATACCATAAAAAAACAGCTAGTACAGTGACACCAGCTAACTTAATAATGACATTAAAAAACACTAATACAACAAATGGTCAGAGACATGGTTACAGTTACACCTGCTAACTTGATAATATTACTGAAGAACACAGTGACACAACAAATGGTCAATGGCATGGGTAAAATTATGCCAGTAAGCCAATAATGATATTGAAGAACAATGTTCAAAACATTTAAAGTATAATCAAAAATAAATGGATTTTATGCAGCACATAAGACATACTCTATGGTCAGTAATGAAGATACAACTAGATCAGTTAAACATACAGTCAGTAGAAGAAAGGGAATAAAATTACAATGATACAGTGAAACTTGATTGCACTGATTGCAATATCTAGAATGGGAATGGTAATAGGTATGACAAACACAAAATCCTGCCCAATGCCTTGTAGGAATACAGGAAGACCATTCTTGTTGGTAGATTTTTGAATGAATTATTTATATACAATGCATACACTATACTGTTAAATATTACATTTGAGGAAAGCAGCCAAGATTCTTTATTATAATAAGTTTATCATATAGAAGTGCTTATTTTATATAAGCCTTTAAACAAAATAACCAATGTTTGCTGTGAACAAACCTGACCCTTTAAACATATAACCAATGATGTTTGCTGTAAACAAACCTGACCCTTTAAACATATAACCAATGATGTTTGCATTGAGCAAATCAGTCTTTAAACATCTATGATCGATATTTGCTGTGACCAAACCTGAACCATTAAATATATAACTGATGATGTTTGCTGTGACCAAACCCAAGCCTTTAATCATATAACCAATGATGTTTGCTGTGAGCAAATCAGACTTTAAACATCTATGATCGATATTTGCTGTGACCAAACCTGAACCATTAAATATATAACTGATGATGTTTGCTGTGACCAAACCTGAACCATTAAATATATAACTGATGATGTTTGCTGTGACCAAACCCAAGCCTTTAAACATATAACCAATGATGTTTGCATTGAGCAAATCAGTCTTTAAACATCTATGATCGATATTTGCTGTGACCAAACCTGAACCATTAAATATATAAATGATGATGTTTGCTGTGACCAAACCTGAACCATTAAATATATAACTGATGATGTTTGCTGTGACCAAACCCAAGCCTTTAAACATATAACCAATGATGTTTGCAGTGAACAAATCCAAGTCTCTGAATATTCATGACCAATGATGTTTGCTGTGACCAAACCCAAGCCTCAAAATACTCACACGACCAAAGACGTTTGCAGTGACCTGAACCATTTCAAACTAATAAATTAAGATTGGATTTATCTACCCAAAATCTCTGTTTTTAAAGCATGGATGTCAGCTTTCAAGTCAAAATCTCCTCACGACCATGGATTAGCACGATACTTCTGATAAAATTATAATCCTTGAAAACAAACAGGCCTTTATAAATTTTGTTACGTTATAAATTACGATTTAACTTAAATTACTGATGTGTTGAAGACAGACTCGACCCTAATGGATTTTTAAACAATTTTTTTTTAAATTATCTACATACCAAATTGCTTGTGGGTTCATGACTTTGATGGTTACATGGTCCTACCATATATGCTATACAGAAAGCAAAACCCTGTAAATGTAGTTTAGTAAAAATGTTAAATCTACTAAATCTACTATTTATTGTCCTAAGCATGAGAGAAAGTCAGAATTATGCAACAATGAAATTCAATAACAATTCCCACAAATTATGTCTATATTGCTACTTTAGCATATGATTTTTTAATATTTTTAAATACTTAATATTTGGTTGATGCTTGAAAATTGTTTCTTTAAAAAATAAAAATGGTAAAACTTGTAAGTATCTAATAGTAATCAGTTGACATCATTTATTTACACCTTAGGCAATACTGTAAGCCTTACTTGTCCAGCCAAATGGTTATTATCAAGGAAAGGCTTCAAGTAATGGATCATGTTGTCTATTTGGGATTTACAAGAAGTGCACAGAACAACTAACAAAAATGTTAAAGATAGGATAGCAAAAACTTTTTAAGTAACAGTTTAATTTGTAGTTAGACAATGTTACAATTTCATGTTAATGCTAGATTTTTTGGATATTATGACCATTCATTTGCAATTAACACATGCTTATCCACTGTACTCAATTTTTAAAATTAAATTTAAGAAGTGTGGTGTAGAACATATAAACATATGTTTATTTCACTTACAAGTCTGATTTTTGCTAAAACGTGCTGTATAAATGATTGTACTTAAAAAAAAACAATTACCCTGAGCAACCACAGCAAACAGAATTAGCTGGTTGGAATTTCTGTCTGTGTTTAGTTAAGAGCCAATCATAGGTTTCATCCATCTTTTAAAAATAACATTGCATATAATGGTAACATATCTTCAACTGGTGTTTTAAATAACTTCAATGCATCTCCATTTCAAATAAATTTATATAGAAAAAAATCTACTGAATGAACAATAACAGAATTTTAAGAACTAGAAAAGAAACCTAGCTCTACAAGACATAAATACTGGATACCACTATGGTTTAATCTCAATTGGCCAAAAACCCCAACCACATTTTCTCTCATATCCAGCTAATATAAACATTTATAGTTTCAGATATGACAGAAATCTGACTACAGGTCACATTTTTGAAGCTATTATGTAAATATACCAAATTAATTTTATCATTCATAATATTCACACGATTCCTTGCTGCCTCTTCATGATTCATCCCATTTTTAAACAATAATCAGTGATACCAACATCGAAGTAAACACAAAGAATTTAACAATATCATTCATTTTCTAAGTGTAAGAAGGAAAACCATCAATGCATTTTGAGATATTTAACTACAGAAAATAATACCTCGATCAGTGGTTGAAGATCGGTCTACGACTTACTTTACATCTGGTAGATCACACTGCATATTATAATTTTAAACTTAGGACATCACATTACATACTGAACTCTAAACCAGATATATTACACACACACACACACACACACACACATATATATATATATATACACACTGTATTATAATCTTGATAAATTGCATTGCACATTATATTATACACCAGATATATCATACTGCCCATTGTATTGTAAACCTGATATGTGCACTTCATACATCATACTGCACATTATATTTTAAACCTCTGTATGATTTTCATACTGCATTCTACTGGTAGAAAAACATTTTGGCATTATTGGCACATTATATAGAAAGCATTTTTATATTACATTCTACTGGTATAAAAAACATTTTGGCATTATTGGTGCATTATATAGAAAACATTTTTATATTACATTCTACTGGTAGAAAAACATTTTAGCATTATTGGTGCATTATATAGAAAACATTTTTATATTACATTCTGCTGGTGGAAAACAGATTATAGACTTCTTACATCTGATGCATTATACTGCAAACATTTTTATACAAATTCTTCTGGTGGGAAAAAAATATTACAGGCATTTAAAATCTGGTGTATTACACAGTAAGCAACTTAAGCCCAGTACATTACGCTACAGGTAAACTTCACCTTGTTTATTAAATGTATTTTCTACCTCTATTTCAAATTACATACGAATATTTATGCTGTATCTCTGAAAGAATGTAGTGTTTCTAAAAGCTCAGTTTGTAGAAAAATATAAAACAAGGATTTTTGTATTGTATCACTTTAAATGAAAAATAAAATTACAGACATTCTTTTCCTGGTACTTCACACTGCAGGTAATTTACACCTACATCATCACATTACAGATACTGTACACCTATTTACTTCACAACTCAGAATACCACAAGACATTACAAATATCCTACACCTTCCGCTAGACTACAAGCGTTATCTTGCCAGGCTACAGGCTCCCACTGGCCTATGATTAGTCAATAAACAGCTTCAGAACAAGGGCTGCTATTGATTGCCTCAGTCCAGCTGTAACAGTAGAAGGCTCCTTTGTTCCATGAAGTAGGTCACATCTGCCTCTGGACGGACACGATTTCAGTTCTCTTTCAATAATTGTGTGTAAAAGTTAGAGAGAACACCGTGGTGGCCACGAGTAAAATACTGTAGATCAAAATTAACTAAAATCCGTTTAGTTAACATCATTATAGCCTCTCCTCATACCTATCACCTCTTTACTACCTCTCTCATAATTTGTCTTTGATTGGTTCCCTCAACTAACGATCAACCACACTGACGTTTAAGTATAACCTATGATTAAAAAAAAACATCAACACTGAGATAATTATGCCAAAAATGCAAAATAACCTTCCCATTTGGGATATTTTAAAGGCCCCAACTTAAAACCTTTATAATGTAAAGAATGCTATGTGTTGGCACATCATACCTGTATGATGTAGCTGTTCTCGTACATCATTTGAAAACATATTGTTAAATATACACTAATCTCTAAAGGAATTTCGAATAGCCATTAATATTGTTTTGTCTTTTACTGCGTATGTTAAGTAGCAACATGTAATAACGATGTGTATAATACACTGATTAATGAATAACGGTGAAAGCCTCTTAATTTTCAATTTGTTATCAAATGTATTTATTCAAAACCTTAACAGGAACACATCCGTGAAATATGTCGCTTACAGATTTAAACATCTGTGAATTATGTCAGTTACAAAATCAAAATAACAGTGGAATCC